ACCTCAGACTCAATCTCACACCACAGACTTAATCTCACACCACAGACTCATTATCACACCACAGACTCAATCTCACACTACAGACTCAATATCACACTACAGACTCAATCTCACACCAGTACAGACTCAATCTCATACTTACAGACTCAATCTCACACTACAGACTCAATACAACACTACTGACTCAATCTCAAACCACAGACTCAATCTCACACTACTGACTCAATATCACACCAAACTCAATCTTGCACCACTACAGACTCAATCTCAAACCACTACAGACTCAATATCACACTACAGACTCAATATCACACTACAGACTCAATACCACACTACAGACTCAATATCACACTACTGACTCAATACCACACTACTGACTCAATCTCAAACCACAGACTCAATCTCACACTACTGACTCAATATCACACTACAGACTCAATACCACACTACAGACTCAATATCACACTACTGACTCAATCTCAAACCACAGACTCAATCTCACACTACAGACTCAATCCACACTACAGGCTCAATACCACACTACAGACTCAATATCACAATACAGACCCAATACCACACTGCTGACTCAATATCACAATACAGACCCAATACCACACTGCTGACTCAATCTCACACTACAGACTCAATCTCACACTACAGACTCGATCTCACTTTAGATCTCTGAAACAATTCAGTCTTTCTCTGTGGAGTAAGGTGATTTACCTTAGATCTCTGAAACAATTCAGTCTTTCTCTGTATATGAAGGTCTTTCTCTAAGATTTTTTATCATTAACACCTGTAGAAAGGTATGAGTATGTAATAGCTATATCTACCTGGATATTTGTACAAACCATGATCATAACCACTAGTGGAAAAATATTAGGTCTCTGTAATATTTAACCTTCATTAATACTTCAGACACATACAACCTCTACCACATCTTAAGTAGGTCAGTATAAATGTTTTATCATACAGATAGCACCACAGCATGTAGAATGACCTTAGTTCTCTTCACAAGGCTAATTCAGATTTTACCATATTTAAACTCTGGATTGAACACTTCATCTTTCGCCTCATAATCTTAATTGAAAATCTCCAGTTTTGCTCAGAATTCTTCTTATACATCAATCAAATCCCATTTCAAACTGTTTGGTCATATCAATGATCTCTGCTGTCCTAGAAGTTCTGAGCCCATATGCATTGTGGGATTTCCCTGAATATTGCAGATCATTTCATATTTGTTTGCAGAAAAACAAAAAAAAACAAGTAAACAAAAAGAAAGAGGTCAATATATCATAATTTCTATGGTGACCTGTAGGAAAAGATATATTCTATATCCCCAACTAACCATGCAGCCATTTAAGCGAACTGCTAATCTTAATGTGAGTGGCCATTTGGCGATTGAGACACAACTAACATTGAGGCAGATCAATATTGTGCATCTTATTGATTTTGGAATGGGAGATACCTGGAATTAGCTTACCAGGAAGGGATTCTAAACCTGCAACAAACTGAGCGTTATCCGATTCAGTTTACGATTAACCAAACAATTAATTTGTAACAGCTAATATTGAAGTATTGTCAGCTGAGAATGTGCTTTTACTGTTGTATCAGTACCTGCAAGCATGTATATAAATTGTTGTTAAAGTGTTTAAGTTCTAAGCATAGGAGGAAGTACTCAACCAAACTTTGTTACAGGAGGATGTCCTTCTCCCTTACTGATAACACTTTATGTACCAAATCTTTTTGAACTGCTCATCATTAACCAGTGTTGAACATTCACTGCATGTATAGCACAAGGTAATTCCATCAGTCAATAATACACATATTTATTATTTTCTGTTGAAATTTATTTTAAATTTTGAAGTTTAAAATTGCATAAAACATGTTTGAGTTTAACTTCATTGCAACAATTCTACATTTTGACTGGTGAGTGATATAATATTTACTCACCATAAAAGTTTGATTTAGATACGACACAAACCTGTATATTAACATCTATCACTTGTAATATCATTACAACCTCTACATCACCATTTCAATATCTAAATTTTACATGTTTTTTCTGACAAAATCTTGACAATGAATTATCATAAATCAATACTGACATCATATGCTGATTTATGACAGGCAAAGAAATCTACATCAAACTTATCACAAAGTGTCAATCTCACTGCTTACCTTGTATGATTGATTGATATTACTCCTGTGTAATTGACATCAACCTTCCAACAGGCTGTTTGACATTGATTAAAATTGCAATGTATAGACCCAGAAGACACTTCTCACACAACACTGACGAGGACGACAACAGGATAAGAAATGTCACAGAAAGGATGTGACACCTCCTGGCTTAACCTGCTGCACCAAACACACATACACACACTTCCACTGCAAATACTTGTCAATCACAATCTCTTTTGATCTGAAACCAGATGACACTTTGATTGGATGGAAGGATTTTTCCATTCAATTGATCAGAGGAGGATGGACTTGGATGTTTTCTACATCAATGACTGGGTTTTGTAAGAAGTAGGTAGATGATATATACATTGTAAAACAGATGTAATACAAGGTTGTATTTCTCTAACCCAGATATCATATTTTTTGACATATCTATCCTGTAATAAGCCCAGGGGCGGACACATGATTCAAGATCGGGGAGATGCCTTTTTCAGGATAATGAAATACAGGCAATAATTGTTTGTATTTATGTCAATAAACAGTAATAATATTGGTAGGATTATACTACTGGGTATATGTTGTAATATATAGGATTCCTCTACATATGATGTGTTGACCTGTGGACATTCTGGTATATATACTGGCTGTTCTCCAACAATACACTCAGATACCTTCCTGAAGTAAGAAGTGATTACTCTTAAGATGAAACTATATCACTTAAATTGAAGAATTTTAATGGGGCTGTTCAGAAAACAAACCCATAACAATCAGAAAACTCGTAAAACCCATTGTTTACCAGAATCACACTTCCTGTTTACCTCTGTAGACATCAATTTCTGGTTTACCAGAGTTGACACGGACTTCCTGTTTACCTCTGTAGACATCAATTTCTGGTTTACCAGAGTTCCTGTTTACCTCTGTAGACATCAATTTCTGGTTTACCAGAGTTGACACGGACTTCCTGTTTACCTCTGTAGACATCAATTTCTGGTTTACCAGAGTTGACACGGACTTCCTGTTTACCTCTGTAGACATCAATTTCTGGTTTACCAGAGTTGACACGGACTTCCTGTTTACCTCTGTAGACATCAATTTCTGGTTTACCAGAGTTGACACGGACTTCCTGTTTACCTCTGTAGACATCAATTTCTGGTTTACCAGAGTTGACACGGACTTCCTGTTTACCTCTGTAGACATCAATTTCTGGTTTACCAGAGTTGACACTGTTTTCCTGTTTACCAGCATAGACACGGACTTCCTGTTTACCACTGTAGACACAGACTTCCTGTTTACTACTGTAAACACAGGCGTCCTGTATGTATACCAGTGTAGACACAGACTTCTGGTTTACCACTGTAGACACAGGCTTCCTGTTTACCAGCATAGACAAAGGCTTCCTGTTTACCACTGTAGACACAGACTTCCTGTTTACTACTGTAGACACAGACTTCTGGTTTACCACTGTAGACACAGGCATCCTGTTTATCATTGTAGCAACAGAGTTCCTGTTTATCATTGTAGAAACAGACTTCCTGTTTACCAGTGTAGAAACAGACTCCCTGTTTATCATTGTAGCAACAGAGTTCCTGTTTACCAGTGTAGAAACAGACTTCCTGTTTACCAGTGTAGAAACAGACTTCCTGTTTATCATTGTAGCAACAGAGTTCCTGTTTATCATTGTAGAAACAGACTTCCTGTTTATCATTGTAGCAACAGAGTTCCTGTTTATCATTGTAGAAACAGACTTCCTGTTTACCAGTGTAGAAACAGATTTCCTGTTTACCAGTGTAGAAACAGCCTTCCTGTTTACCAGTGTAGCAACAGAGTTCCTGTTTACCAGTGTAGAAACAGACTTCCTGTTTACCAGTGTAGAAACAGACTTCCTGTTTATCAGTGTAGCAACAGAGTTCCTGTTTATCATTGTAGAAACAGACTCCCTGTTCATCATTGTAGTTCAACAAATTTCTGTCCACCTTCTTGTTTACCAAAAGGTATATTCATATAAGTACAAGATTGATGTAAGATGTAAAGTGTTTCACTTTTTGGGAATAGTAAAGCCAATATGTTTCATAATTTATCAGCTTTAATTACAATTTTTAAAAATCTCTTTTAACATAATCATCCTTTTCCCATTTTCTTCAATCAACATATTGCAACCCCTAGAAGTACTAACACTGTTCATGTACCTTGAAAAATACTAAGAGCATGCTGTTTTTGTGTCAGTGATATTTAATTTCTTCCGTAAGAAAGCATTTTATCATTAAATATTGGATGTTCACCTCCAGCCATAGTATGAAGTACATGGCCACATGTAGAGGCAGTATGTACCTGCCTGGAACACATGTCCCGCTTAAGAGGCTTCCTGCCTAATGCACTTTCCTATAACAGGATCTCGAACATGAACATATGGCTGTGGTTGTTTTACGGATCACTACTTCAAAGTGGGAGCTCCTGTTTCTTTTTGAAAGCGAACAGAAAATCTCTGTTCATGTCTTAAGTTGGTAATACAGCCAACATAGGTAATAAATTAATTTCTAAATGTACAACCTCTTCTATACCTAAAAGTACGATGCTATACAGTCTTCAAATATCACAATTTAATTACAGACAGAAAACAACACCTTACAACAATCAGGCAAACTTATATTTACATAAGTATGGAACTAAATCATATAGGTTATTGGTACAGATTTCATCACATTAGGTTCTGTTATAAAATTTCAACAAAATCTTCCACATCTATTGAAAGCCAACGATTATACACATAATACATTTTTTTATAATGATGGAAAAATCAAAAAAGTGAAAAAATTTACCTCATAATTCTCTGGTAATAAACGTCCAATCTTCCTCTCCTCATACTGAAATGTAAACAGGATCTTATAAACAAAATCAAACAACAGTAAGTCTCTGATACAATGTTTACAATGTCAATAGGCTCTTTATTTAGTCCAGGCTTAAATTTAGGATGAGATGATCTGGTGCAAGTGATGATCTAGACCGAGTTATTATCTAGATCAGTGTGGGGGATAATCTGGATTATAATTTATACGAAACTGACTTCTGGTCCCAGTTGTTAAAAAATTCTGTATCAGATATTACTGTAGGTATAATTCCCAGGGGTATGGTGTAAACATCTCACAGTCTCTGTATCAGATATTACTGTAGGTATAGTCCCCAGGGGTAGGGGTAAACATCTCACAGTCTCTGTATCAGATATTACTGTAGGTCTAATTCCCAGGGGTATGGTGTAAACATCTCACAGTCTCTGTATCAGATATTACTGTAGGTATAGTCCCCAGGGGTAGGGGTAAACATCTCACAGTCTCTGTATCAGATATTACTGTAGGTATAGTCCCCAGGGGTATGGTGTAAACATCTCACAGTCTCTGTATCAGACATTACTGTAGGTATAGTCCCCAGGGGTAGAGAGTAGACATCTTACAGTCTCTGTATCAGATATTACTGTAGGTATAGTCCCCAGGGGTAGGGGTAAACAGCTCACAGTCTCTGTATCAGATATTACTGTAGGTATAGTCCCCAGGGGTAGAGAATAGACATCTCACAGTCTCTGTATCAGATGTTGCTGTAGGTATAGTCCCCAGGGGTAGGGGTAAACATCTTACAGTCTCTGTATCAGATATTACTGTAGGTATAGTCCCCAGGGGTAGAGAATAGACATCTCACAGTCTCTGTATCAGATATTGCTGTAGGTATAGTCCCCAGGGGTAGAGAATAGACATCTCACAGTCTCTGTATCAGATATTACTGTAGGTATAGTCCCCAGGGGTAGAGAGTAGACATCTCACAGTCTCTGTATCAGATATTACTGTAGGTATAGTCCCCAGGGGTAGGGGTAAACATCTCACAGTCTCTGTATCAGATATTACTGTAGGTATAGTCCCCAGGGGTAGAGAGTATACATCTCACAGTCCCTGTATCATAAATTACAGTAGGTATAGTTCCCAGGGGTAGGGGTAAACATCTAACAGTCTCTGTATCAGATATTACTGTAGGTATAGTCCCCAGGGGTAGAGAGTAGACATCTCACAGTCTCTGTATCAGATATTACTGTAGGTATAGTCCCCAGGGGTAGGGGTAAACATCTTACAGTCTCTGTATCAGATATTGCTGTAGGTATAGTCCCCAGGGGTAGAGAGTAGACATCTTACAAGCTCTGTATCAGATATTACTGTAGGTATAGTCCCCAGGGGTAGAGAGTATACATCTCACAGTCCCTGTATCAGAAATTACTTTAGGTATCGTTCCAAGGGGTAGGTGTAAACATCTAACAGTCTCTGTATCAGATATTACTGTAGGTATAGTCCCCAGGGGTAGAGAGTAGACATCTCACAGTCTCTGTATCAGATATTACTGTAGGTATAGTCCCCAGGGGTAGGGGTAAACATCTTACAGTCTCTGTATCAGATATTGCTGTAGGTATAGTCCCCAGGGGTAGAGAATAGACATCTCACAGTCTCTGTATCAGATATTACTGTAGGTATAGTCCCCAGGGGTAGGGGTAAACATCTCACAGTCTCTGTATCAGATATTACTGTAGGTATAGTCCCCAGGGGTAGGGGTAAACACCAAACAGTCTCTGTATCAGATATTACTGTAGGTATAGTCCCCAGGGGTAGGGGTAAACAGCTCACAGTCTCTGTATCAGATATTACTGTAGGTATAGTCCCCAGGGGTAGGGGTAAACATCTCACAATCTCTGTATCAGATATTATTGTACGTATAGTCCTCAGGGGTAGGGGTAAACATCTCACAGTCTCTGTATCAGATATTACTGTAGGTATAGTCCCCAGGGGTAGGGGTAAACATCTCACAGTCTCTGTATCAGATATTACTGTAGGTATAGTCCCCAAGGGGTAGGGATAAACATCTCACAGTCTCTGTATCAGATATTACTGTAGGTATAGTCCCCAGGGGTGGGGTAAACATCTCACAGTCTCTGTATCAGATATTACTGTAGGTATAGTCCCCAGGGGTAGGGATAAACATCTCACAGTCTCTGTATCAGATATTACTGTAGGTATAGTCCCCAGGGGTAGGGATAAACATCTCACAGTCTCTGTATCAGATATTACTGTAGGTATAGTCCCCAGGGGTAGGGGTAAACATCTAACAGTCTCTGTATCAGATATTACTGTAGGTATAGTCCCCAGGGGTAGGGGTAAACATCTCACAGTTCCTGTATCAGATAGTACTGTATGTTTAGTCCCCAGGGGTAGGGCATATACATTTCATAGTATATATTTCCAGGAATAAGGGGGCAACATTTCTGATGTTACTGTCTGAATCCAAGGCTGGGGTTAAGGGCCAACGTAGAATGCCTTTTCATCTGATGTAACTGGCCTCCATATCAGATTATACAGAGTGTAAACAGTTGCCTTGGGTCATAATAGTTTAATCTCCAAAACAATTGGTCAACAACTACCAGTTCTCTAGGATTCTCATACTAAAATGGGATCCCAGGAGTTCTAGAGCCATAAAAATCCATCACATATACACCCCAATTCTAAAGTATGTGGAGCACTGTATTTCAAAGAGAGCTAGGTATCTCACCGTATCAGGAGTTATGGTAATCCTTTTGGCGAGTTAGTAGTCCCAGGGGATGGGGCCTACAGAATATAGCCAGCGGTCCCTACCAGATCTCTCAGCATCTCCATCATATCTATCTAATAACCTTGGCAATGATAATCACACATATTACCCATATTCCATTTCACCTAATTATCTTTAACAAACTATAAAGTGTGTGAGTATCTAAAAATTGTTCCTAATTAAAATTTTAAGATATTTTCTGGATACTAGGTAATTAAGTTAGACTCAGGCACAGGAATTGGGTACAATTCCCAACCCCATGATCCATGAATATATACAGACTGTGTGGTCGGAAATCTGTGCCAAGTCCCTGTGATCTTGAGTATGCATCTTGATCTGTGTGCAATGAATTATTTAGTAGCTGAGGTAGACTGCTTTCCTCCCTCATCTTAAATACCAAAAGGTACATTGCCTCTTCTGGTAAACCAATGTCTTTCTTATTTACCTTGGCCGACATTGTTTATCTTTAATTCTAACAAATGTTTGCTAAAGGTCCTGTGAATCCTTTAACCTCTGCCGAAAAAATTCCTCTAAAGTCAGGAAGGAACATACATATCCTTAAGCATTATCAGTTAAACCAGCCACTGACACTTTAAACAAAACCTATTTTGTATGGATCAAGTGGTTTCACCTCGACACAACAATACCTAACTTAAGGTTATATATATTGTACAAACTGTATTCAACATAGAGAAATTGTGAAAAATTGTATCGTTTATAAATTGTACTTAACAGCAGAGATCACTTCAATAGAAAATAGTTATTGCAATCCTGTGCCATTTTGCATTTTTTGAAAGCATTCACAATTTCATAAAGAGAGAAGAAAAAATAAGAAATTTATTTAACATCAAATATTATGAGTGATATGTACCATTAGTGCCACTAATTACCGCGACAAACAATTACCAGTAATAAATGTACATAATTTCTCTGTCGTTATATATACTGAATTAACAGCTGGAGGATATCATTACATCCATGTATATGATAATAAGCTTCAACAGTAAGGGTCCCAGGACAAATGATATATAGTCTTTTCTTTTCACATTGTACCTATTAAGGAGCAAAATTGAACATTTTCTTGGGGGGGGGTTATGAAAAATTTCCAGTGTATTAAAATAAAGATGAATCACGGAGTTTCTGTAAAGTTAAAAACCTCCTTATCTGTGATATATTTGGTCTTGTACTAAGCTAGCTGATTATTAACCCAATTTTAATTGTTTACAATGTAACATCATTTTAAAATAACTGGACACAACACTTTTTTGATTATCACGGGTAAGGGCAATTATCTTCTCTCTCTCTTTAAATTCTAAAAACTCTGAAAAATCACCCATAAACACATTTATTCAAAATTGCAGATATGGATTCAATTACGTTATGTTGATATTTTACCACGGTTGTGAATACTACCTCAAATTTGATTTGGAATTTTTTTTAAGCTTATCAAAAACAACAAACTTCCTTTTTTGTGGTAAGTAATGTCCCGATATAGAACTCTATGGGAATATTGTGTACACACTGCTTCAGCTGGTCTATAAATCAATTTAAAATAAATTGATAAAAAAAATTGACACGAGCAAACATACATAATGAAATTGATTGCTACGGATCATGAATCAGTTCAAAACCTAGCAACAGTGACGATATTCTTTTGACATATCATATACATATATATTTCATGAAAAAATATCAACGAGCTATACTCAAGCTATCAGACGGCGTACAATTTTATTATATCTAATTAAGGAAACTGGGTTGTTGGAAGGCTGACTGCATACAAGTACAGTTTAAAAGTACATTTAAAGTGCATTCTAACCATATTTAGACCACAGTCCTTGTTCACAAAACATATTATAACATTCAAATACCATTTCACACCAGTCAACATCAGAAACTGTCGCCTCACTTATACAGTGAAATGGCTAGATTTTGTCTGTAATTAAGAGGACTACTGATAATATCCGACTTTCAATTGACAAGCATCATGAATAATAAATAACTCGTTCTACTTAATCTTAAAACTACAAGAGTACTGTATAAGACTTTGATGAATTATCATCCAAATAACGCTTTGATATGAGTTGCCCATTTGTGTTCTGAAAGATCAGATAAAATCTGTGATCCGATCAGGTCCTAATGTTTACCTAAATCTCTTGTTGTGGACCGAAATATGACAGCATGGAACCTGACCACCTTCCAATGCTTTGTAATACATAATTTAGAGAAATAAATTAATTTAAATCATCTCCTTTCGTCTGACTTCCCGGAAAGTATCCGTACTTTAGTACTAACCTCCATGTATTTTGATGGTACGTATCCGACAGTGTCGCTGCTCAATGCACGAGCGCCCCACCATTCTGTCCCCGTCTTGTGACAGTCAAATATTTCAAACCTGTCCCCTTTTGCAAATGAGAGGATGTTCTCAGAGCCCTCGACAGAGGGCGAGATAAAATCCGACAAGGCTCTATAGATCTCCATGCCTCCGACATGGGGAACACTTTCGTACCGACTGATGTTTTTTCGGCTAAAGCTTACCCTTACTACGGCTGATATTAGCACGAGATCTCGATCAGCTGAGTAGTAAATACTAATAAGCCACACGGGATTAGCTCCCCTTATTCAACTTTGCTATGATACGGAATGTCTTTAAACGTCTGCTGCTGTAACGATATATGTAAAAGGTTTAATTTTCATTTCTTTATTTTTTGCATTAGCAAAGCGTTTAAAAAATAATTTAAAAAATGAAATAATTACGGTGATGGAACGGGCACCTGCTGGCATAAACTAACTTTAGAACATCGGACAGATTATCCGGACTGATAAATAAACAATCTTTTTTCATTGAATAACGACACTTTCTTCAAAGATAACACACTGGGCAAGTTAAGTTTGATAAGAAAACATTCGAGACATCTTGAAATTTCCACTTAAGAAATTGAGTCTAAAGCTGGTGTTTGACAATCACGAAATTTATTTAATATGAATTTAGTGGCCTTGCAATCTAAATTTCACATTTCTTTCGATTAGTTTTGATTATCCCTTGTCGTCTCTTAGGTTTCACTGTATAGACCCTTAGAATCACTACTGAGTCCTAGATGGACGAAACCAGCATCTTAAATGTTATAACTAATGTCAGACCACATTTAAAATCTTTTTCGTAATTCTTAAAAAAATAGTGGTACAGCAACCAAACTTCGTACCAGTCACCGAGAGTCTGTACCGGTCACCGAGAGTCTGTACCGGTTACCGAGAGTCTGTACCGGTCATGAGGAGTCTGTACCAGTCATAAGGAGTCTGTACCAGTCACCGAGAGTCTGTACCAGTCATGAGGAGTCTGTACCAGTCACCGAGAGCCTGTACCGGTCATGAGGAGTCTGTACCGGTCACCGAGAGTCTATACCGGTCACCGAGAGTCTGTACCGGTCATGAGGAATCTGTACCAGTCACCGAGAGTCTGTACCAGTCATGAGGAGTCTGTACCGGTCACCGAGAGTCTGTACCAATCATGAGGAGTCTGTACCAGTCACCAAGAGTCTGTACCAGTCATGAGGAGTCTGTACCAGTCACCGAGAGTCTGTACCGGTCACCGAGAGTCTGTACCGGTCATGAGGAGTCTGTACCAGTCATAAGGAGTCTGTACCAGTCACCGAGAGTCTGTACCAGTCATGAGGAGTCTGTACCAGTCACCGAGAGTCTGTACCGGTCACCGAGAGTCTGTACCGGTCATGAGGAGTCTGTACCAGTCATGAGGAGTCTGTACCAGTCACCGAGAGTCTGTACCAGTCATGAGGAGTCTGTACCAGTCACCGAGAGTCTGTACCGGTCACCGAGAGTCTATACCGGTCACCGAGAGTCTGTACCGGTCATGAGGAGTTTGTACCAGTCACCGAGAGTCTGTACCAGTTATGAGGAGTCTGTACCAGTCACCGAGAGTCTGTACCGGTCACCGAGAGTCTGTACCGGTCATGAGGAGTCTGTACCAGTCACCGAGAGTCTGTACCGGTCACCGAGAGTCTGTACCAGTCATGAGGAGTCTGTACCAGTCACCGAGAGTCTGTACCGGTCACCGAGAGTCTGTACCGGTCACCGAGAGTCTGTACCGGTCATGAGGAGTCTGTACCAGTCATGAGGAGTCTGTACCAGTCACCGAGAGTCTGTACCAGTTATGAGGAGTCTGTACCAGTCACCGAGAGTCTGTACCGGTCACCGAGAGTCTATACCGGTCACCGAGAGTCTGTACCGGTCATGAGGAGTTTGTACCAGTCACCGAGAGTCTGTACCAGTCACCGAGAGTCTGTACCGGTCACCGAGAGTCTGTACCGGTCATGAGGAGTCTGTACCAGTCACCGAGAGTCTGTACCGGTCACCGAGAGTCTGTACCAGTCATGAGGAGTCTGTACCAGTCACCAAGAGTCTGTACTGGTCACCGGGAGTCTGTACCGGTCACGGGAGACTGTACAAGTTACTGCCGGGAATCTGTACCAGTCACGAGGTGTCTGTATCAGTCACTAGGAGTCTGTACCAGTCACGACGTGTCTGTACCAGTCACCGAGAGTCTGTACCAGTCATGAGGAGTCTGTACCAGTCACCGAGAGTCTGTACCAGTCATGAGGAGTCTGTACCAGTCACCGAGAGTCTGTACCGGTCACGGAAGACTGTACAAGTTACTGCCGGGAATCTGTACCAGTCACGAGGTGTCTGTATCAGTCACTAGGAGTCTGTACCAGTCACGACGTGTCTGTACCGGTCACCGAAAGCTTTTACCGGCCACGAGGAGTATGTATCTGTCACAATGAGTCTATATCTGCCATCGAGAGTCTGTACCGGTCAGGAGGAGTCTGTATCAGTCACCGAGATTCTGTTCCTTTCACCGGGAATCTGTACCAGTCACCGAAAGTCTCTACCGGTCACGACGTGTCTGTACCAGTCACCGAGAGCTTTTACCGGTCACGAGGAGTATGTACCTGTCACTGCCGGGAATCTGTACCAGTCACGGGGTGTCTGTACCAGTCACCGAGAATCTGTAACGGTCACCGAGAGTCTGTACCAGTAACCGGGAGTCCTTACCTGTCACGAGAAGTCTGTATCAGTCACCGAGAGTCTGTACCAGTCAATAGGAGTCTGTACCAGTCACGAGGTGTATGTACCGGCCACCGAGAGCCTGTGCCGACCATGAGAAGTATGTACCAGTCATGGGAGACTGTACCAGTTACTGCTGGGAGTCTGTACCTGTCACTGCCGGGAGGCTGTACCAGTCACTAGGAGTCTGTACCGGTCACTAGGAGACTGTACCGGCCACGAGGAGTATATACCAGTCATGGGAGACTGTACTAGTTACTGCCGGGAATCTGTACCAGTCACGAGGAGTCTGTATCAGTCACCGAGAATCTGTACCAGTAACCGGGAGTCTGTACCTGCCACTGGCTGAAGCCTGTACCAGTCACCGGCAGACTTTCCCAGTTACTGCCGGGAGTCTGTACCAGTCACCGGGAGAGTGTACCAGTTACTGCCGGTAATCCGTACCAGTCACCGGGAGATTTTACTGGTTTATGCCGGAAATCTGTACCACTCACCAGGAGACTTTACTTGTTACCAAGAGTCTGTTGTACTTATCCATTTTCTAGACAGGTAAACGTTTTGGCGTCATTAATAGTGCTTTGTTTTTTAACTTCATTCCCTACGTTTGCGCTGCTTTTGTGACCATGACCTTGACCAATCCTACTCCAATGAGGTTTATCTTGAACTCAAACCTACCCTTTATGTGCATATAGTGCAGGACAGCCAACAATATGGAAAATGGACAACGTCATAACTATTTCATGAAAATCCTGAGGGTGTTGCATGGTCATAATGATGATCTTATGTGAAAATGGCTTGTTAGCTTGCAACTATTTCAATCTGAGCGTGTTTGGTTCTTGTTGGTATGTCTGATGGTTGCGCCATTTATCTAAATGTTCAAATTCGAGAAAGTCACACTACTTAGTTTGATTAACCAAGATTTACATGGCGACCGCTCTCGATGAAACAGAAGACGCTTACCCTTCCGGACCGTCTGGTCTCATTCTGTTTGTTCTTTTTAAGCAGTATCCTTGTCAATCTTTCTTTTGGTCATATTTTTTCCTTATTTCATTGTTTTTGAGTTCTGTTGAAATGTCGGTATTTGGTTTGTTGTTTTTAACGTCCTATCAACAGCTACGTATGTATGTTCATTTAAAGAGTGCCCTTCCTATCTATGCGATGCGACACTGCATGTAGACATTAACGGCCGTCCCCGAGCGAAGCTCTCTAAAGAGATATAACACATTAAATGAGTTGCCTCCCTTATATATATGAGTATGAGTTACCTTTGAAGATGGATCTTTGGCTAATAGAATTATGCTTTTGAAACCAAATTTAGTTTTGCCTGATGCTAGCACAAAATTCTTAACAGAATGTCCTAAAGTACCAATTTACCCTTGTTTTTAATTTGTGTGTTTGTCATCAGTCCCTGTGTTTAGGTTAAAACGCATACACAGTATACACAAGCACACAAATCGATCGCGACAAACAGTAAATTGCTGTTCTCTTTTCAGTTTATTATTGACCCTTCAAGTTGTTCGATCTACAGTCTAATGTAGGTAACCTGTAGTACATGGTGTGTGAAAGAGAGAAGGGACAAAAAGAACATGTTTATTGGTGGTGTTTTTGTTTTGTTTGTTTGTTATATATACAAATATATATTGGAGTTTTATAACAAAAAATTCTTCTAAATTGTATACCGATCTTTATAGGATCGACAGATTTGTTTGTTTGTTTGTTTTTGAAGACCAAACGGTCCAACACAATTCCACATTCAAAAGATGTAGGGTTTTATTTTGCAGAATTTTAAGCCATCATAGTTCTGGTTTCTTTCAAATGCTCGTCTTTCGCAAACCGACGTCAGTCACTTTTCACAAAATAATGTTGTGCACGAACAAACAACACAGGTGTATATACGTACCTATTTATTACATTTGATTTAACGAATCGGGGTGAATGTCTGCAGCATTAAATCTTAAGGATAAGGCAACAGATTTTCTTCAAAACAACCACTTTTTAAAGTTATGAAACAAGATAGTACTGAGCCGAAAAAAATGTCAAGTGATAGTTATGGAACTCAAATTGATGTTAATGTCCTCAGCTTGAAGTTTTTCATTCATGTTGTGTGCCATGGCGAAAGTTCGAGGTGATTTGAAATAGACACAAATGAAAGATCACACAACACAGAAAAGTAATATTTGACTGGAAGACAAAGGAGGCTGCCATTTTGTAGTGCCATTTTCAAGTCATTGTTCGAATATTGTCACTGTTCAGAATATACACGTGTACTTGACTTTGTTCTAAAATTATCAGATATTTAGAAATAATACGAAATATTTTGAATTAAGAGGACAGTGGATTTCCGCTTTATGTTTTGCCTCCAGTTCTTTGGATTTTTACACGGTCGCTTCCAGATATGGCTCCAAAAATTACTGATAAGTTCGAGAAGGACGAAACAACTGTACGATGCAATTCAGTACATTGTTTGGCTCTACTGTACCCAACTCTGATTTTGTATTAAAGGACAGTTGTGTGTCTCAGGCTCAGCATTTTATCAAATGCACTTGCAATGCATGCTTAATACGTTTCCACACCTGCTTACGTCACGCCTCTTCTGACTTTCGGTCTCTCTAACTATTCGTTCTGTTGCTGGGCGTCGGCGCAAGTGGGTGTACGTATTTACTGTTGTCAAATAGAAACTGGGTAGGTTGACAATGGTGCAGTAGTGATGTTGTGTATTTTTCGTGTGCGCATGAGCGACTGTTTTGCTTGACTCTGTAGGGTTTCGCGTCGATTAGGAGGTGATACATTTCTGATGGACTAAGATGTATTCCCGGATACGTTAGATATGTGATACCTCATCTGTGACGTATGATCGGGCGTCCCTGATATATGTGTTACTTTGATATTGTGATATCTCATCTGTGACGTATGATAGGGCGTCTATGATATTATGTGTTATTTTGATATATCATCTGTGACGTATGATCGGGCGTCCCTGATATCATTGTGTTGTTTTGATATTGTTAGATATCATATGTGATATGTTGCAGGGCGTCCCTGATATTATTGTGTTATTTTGATTTAATATTGTTTAATATATCAATATCAGTTCAATGTGAACCTCACCTGATTTAACTTTATAGAAATGATCTAACCTCTTTATGTAAATTTAGAACCCCAAATAAAAAAACTTTCCTTAGGGACGTGAAGATGGAAAAAAAGTTCTATGTAATTAGTATTACACAAATGTACCATTGGATCGTGTATCTTCCATTATTAATGCTGTACATCTTCTGTTTTCGTGTTTCACGAGGCTTCAAAGATCACGTTTAAGTGATCTGAACCGCTGGTGTTTTAAAGTAACCTTTATCTTCATAAAACTTTATAAAATATGTATATTTATACACAACAGTATACAACTCTATATTTTCTTCTGTGACGCGTATATCATGAATGTCACAAAGCGCGATTCGTATTCAGAGACTTGAAAATCACGTGCACGGTGCCCTGTGACGTTAGCTTAGACACCCTGTATGCTAATCCTACAACATATTATATATAAACATACACAAAACTGTTCAAATAGAAGAATTGAACCACCAAAATACGCCATTTGAACAAGTGACATACATGTATACATACATTTTATTTATTAATTTTAAGTTTCGTTTAAGCCATAAAAGTAAATTTGGTGGTTTAAACCAGAATTTTTGACGCACTTTATTTGGTAATTATTTTACAACAGTGTGAATGCGCGACACTGGTAAGCGTATGAAAAATTTAGTCACATGATCACATTGACGAATGAAAATCGTCATAGAAAATGACAATAGGTAAGAAAAAAACGTTTTCGCGGGAGAGTGTGCACTGTCATTCAGAAGATAAAGACCGACCTTGTCAGAGGTGTAAGTAAATGCTCTACTGTTTTATGACCGATGCTAAGTAAAACTATAGGTATTTAGTCTCGTGTACATGTACCGACTGTTTATTGGTGTTAATGCTGATATGTTACCTTTTTATTGAAAATATAAGTTGAACTAAAGTTAATTATACTTGGGAGACTCTGGTTACAGGCAGTATCATGCAGATATTCAGAAAAAAGTCAAATTCTCCGATAAAAATCCTAGGATTTATAACTCAATTCCATAAAGGGTAAATAGAAAGTTGAAAAATTGATTTCATATATTTTTTTAGAAAAAAAATGTACATGTACATGAATCTTGACAAGTGGAGACGAACAAAGAGACAAGAATTTTTATTTCAATAAAGTGTAGAGGGGTTCAATGTGAATTCAGAGGGCAACGGAGCGAACGGAGAAAGCAAGCCACGACACAGAATGTGACGGACATTAGTAATGATGATTTCTAAAGTGAACAGTGTAAGCTTATACTATTGGCATTGTTTTAATCAATTGATAATCTATAAATATCCATGATTATTTATGTTCACCTAAATAAAATATCCCCCGTCTCTCTCTAAGTACATATCCAAATATTTGAACTTGATTATATATAAAATTGTAAAATTTCTATTGGGCAAAGGCTTCATGTAAATTTGAAATCTTGTGCCCGATCCTATTTTGTGCATTGATCCTAATGAAATATGTTTATATCAAATGTGAACACATACACCACTACACGACACACCTACTAATAAAATAGACTCTACCCTAAACTACGCAACTGACTTTGACATTACCTAAGTTTGTGAAATGTACTCTATTAATCCCTATTAATCCCTAAATTTCTCCTACAATGCATGTATGCTATCGTAGGGCTTAGGATCCACGGGCAATATACGCGGCACATAGCACGTGCAAAATGTGCGCCAAAATGTACTCGGAACACTCCCGTATTTTACTTAACACAAATACTTAAGTGCACCAGCGATAGTACATATTGAATATTGGGGACTCGGAGGCCCATGCCTAGGGCGCTGTAATGGACGTAGTTGAGGTCCTCTTCTGATTATGAAAACCCTGCTCAAAGCTCATCATATTAGGAAGTATCCAAGGGAGACTACTAGGTAGGGTTACAACTGGTCCTTCCATTAATTGGTGCAAACTGATGACTCAGGAGGTTCGAGGTGACTTCTGTATCATCCACGCGCCCACATTTAGACTCATTAAGCATGTGTTTGCACATGCAGCAGTTTTACTGATTGAGGTGTAATGCAGTAATGTTGCGACAAGTTGATTCAAATCTAACGTTATCTGCACGAGTGATCAAAATGTAAACCAACCAAAATCACATCAAATGCCCTATTTTATAAAATGCTGATCCCCTTGGTTGGTGGTGATAGGACGATGATCAGATGTAATTGATTGATCGTTTAATCTCACCTGATGCAATAACTAGTTACAATTTCAACTTTTTTTTCAAAATTGAATTCAAAATTTTATGAAAAATTACTATGCATAATATTTTTAGGTCACCTGAACTAAAGGCTCATGATGACCAATTGCCATCATGATTCGTCTGTCGTTGTCCGTCGTACGTCATTAACTTTCACATTTTCGACTTCTCAAGAACCACTGGATAGATTTCAACCAAACTTGGCACAAATTATCCCTATAGTAAGATGCATCAAGTTTGCGAAAGAAAAGAGTATGGCTCCAATATGGGCCACAGGAGGGGGCAAAAAGTGGTAAAATTAGGTAAATCTTTAAAAATCGTCTTATGAATCAAGTATAAGATTTTCCTAAAATTCAAAATTAATGATTCTTAGAGCAAGGTCTACAAAGTTTGCGAATTAGAAAAAAAATGGGTCATAAACAGGCCCTACAGGGGGCACCAAAAAGGGGTCAATATTCAAAGTTGACAGATTTCAACCAAATTTAATTTATAGGGTCCCCTAGTGAAGAACATGTGACTTTGAGTTGAAAAAAAGTGTCTGAGGGGTTCTGGGGCCTCATGGGGGGCAAAAAGGGGTCAATTAGATTTTTTTTTGAAAATGGGTTCTAATGGCATTGACCATGTTTTTGGGTTACAACCACACTAAGCACAAAGTATCTGTGTAATAAGACACAATTAGTTTTGGGGAAAAAAACGTAATGGCTGCAATAGGGGCCCCAGGTGGGGGTGAAAAAGGAGTAAAATTAAGTAAAGTAAGCCTCTTTAAGTTTACAATAGAAGGTATGGCATCAATGGGGGCATATTTAAGGAGCAGAAAGGGGTAGAATTTGTTAAATCTTAGCAAATCTTGTTGTCCTGAACCAGAAGTGTAACTTCATATAGATGATCTTTAGGGAAAGGACTGCAAAGTTTGTGAGAATAAAAAACTGGTCCAAAATTAGCCCTTCTGATATTTGTTACATATTAATCTTTAATAAAGACGCGTGTTTATGACAACCATATAGGCGAGAAAAAATGTGTAGTCAGATCTTTCATCAAACCCGGATCTTATTACTCGCTGAACCTTCTATGTTCTGAGCTACATGTATAATATGGTTCAATACCTGTGGTAACACTACATTTCTCAGCCTTGATACATATATATTCCGGTCTCAGAAGTACCACAAGATTTTTTCACATTGTTTTTTGTGAGTTTTTTTAGTTGGATGCCTTATTGTATTAGGCAAGGAAAAGATTGTGGATAGACTTGAAATTGATCTGATTTTTTGTATACTTTAGCTATACATGTATCTACTAAGCTATATTTCAACTTGTAAATGAAAACATGATTTGCTTTATATAAATGTGCAACCCTGGCCTCTGTTTGGCAAAGACATTTTGGACTTCCTCTCAAGAACCACTGGGTGGATCATGTTCAAACTTGGTACAGATGTTTCACACACGGTCCTGCACAAGTGTTGTTACATTTTTGCAACATTTTAAAATCCCCAGATTATTGACATATATTCCTCAGGTGATCGTTAAGGCCCCTTGGGCCTCTTGTTTGTATTAATTAATATAATACGTAAATGAGGTAATTTAAGTAACTTGGTTGCAAAAAAGAAAATATTACTCCCAACAGAGAATGCTTTCACTTTCTCTCAGTATTGAACACAGCTAGTTATATAACTACATCGCTAAACTTATATGATTGTAATCGATGATTGTTTATGTTGTTTATTTTAATCAATTTCCCATCATTATTGGGCTTTTTGTCTTAAAGTAATTAATGATCAATTTGTAGATATTTTGAAATATTGTCAAGTGTATCTAATAAAGTACTGAAGCAATATTTTTCAAACTTGGCATGCTACATCCCTATGATATAAAGTTGTGCCTTTCACGTTTTTTTAGCTTATAATTTGATAATGAGGTGTTCCAAAAACACTACCATGGAAACACCTTTGAGGTTTTCTGATTGTTCAAAAATGAGGTATTATCTGATTAAACTGAAAACTTTTAGGGGGATGACAAATACAACACTATTTTCGAAGAAAAAAATTGTTTCCATATGGTTGCCATGGTGACCAAATGAAGACCTCTAGGAGGAATTTAGTTTTGAACAACCCCTCCAAAACTATTGTTATAGCATCTAGACATCAAGAGATGGACACATTCATGGTGCAAGAATTGACCTTTGAGTATGGCACACCATTTCTTGGTAATATAATTGACAGTTGAAATACCAACCCGAAAACCATATGAGCTTTTATTGGTCATCAAAACAGAAAGACAGTCTGGTATAAGAATTTACATATTGGTCTTGTCCAGTCAAAGAGATTAAGTGAAAAAGCTGTAATTTGAAATACCCAACCTAAAGGCATGTATAACAGTAATCACAATGGTGGTGCAACATCACCAATTTTACCAAAACCGATGGGTTTACAGTTTTTTGTTGATAATCTTAAGTATGAATTTCTTGCAGGGGGATGTTGGGATGAGCTGACCCGACATGGCTGTACTGGAGCTGTTGTAGGTAATGGTGATGATTTCAGGGATTGATATGGTTATAGCAGCGATGGTGATTGGTTTCATGGAGATGATGATGATTGCGGGGATTTATGAGGATGATATTGGGGATTCACAAAATGCTGACTGTACTGTACTGGATCTGTTTAAGCTGATTGCCTCACATGGCTGCCCTGGATTGGAGGACTGTAGCTGTAGATTGCCGTCGGGTACAGTTGTACCAAGTTTAGGTATGTTACATTAATAGAGTAATCGTGATGAATATTAAGCTGTGTGAATGTTGTTTTACCTAATCCTCTAAAATCATTCGTGTATGATTTTTTTGAGATTTGTTTTGTCAACAGTAATCACAATGGTAGTGCAGCATCACCAATTTTACTAAAACCGATGGTATACAGTTTTTTTGTTGATATTTTAAAGTATTAAGTCCTCTTGGATTGAAATTTCAAGGTGGACTCTGGGAGGAGATGACCTTGCATTGCTGTATTGGAGCTGTTGTAACTGAATACCTCGAAAGGCAGTACTGTATTGGAGGGAGGTGACTGCAGTTATAAGGTTTAGGGTGTGTATGGTGCACCTGGTTTTGTTGATTTGAATTGAAGCTAATCTGTTTCCTCATTTGGCCTCACTCCTTTCCCTTCCCACAAAGACCCTTCAGACTAAACGGAGTCAATATATCTTAATTTCAATTCAGTTTTTAAAGCTGTTCGTCTCTATTTTAGATAATAAGAATTACCCCTCAGGTCCTTGGGGGTCAGACTCACAGCTTTTATACAAAATTGGTTTCCCTTCCCACAAAGCTTTTCCTCTATTTCTCTTATTCGACCACATTTTAGTCTCAGACCCACCCCTCGGGCCTTGGGGGTCCAAGATCCTCCATCAATACGAACTTGGTTCCCCTACAACCAAGAATTCTTCTGACCAAATTTAAATCAATTCTAGAGGTGCTTTTATTGCAACTTGAAAGATGACATTACTGTAAATATTTTTATTACTTTTCACGAATGGGATCAAAATATTGTAAATTGAATTGAAATATAATTATTATTGCATCATGTTAAGAGTTTTCCTATGTGACTATGCAATGGTGTATATATGTTCTATGATATGAAAGTTAAGTCTGAGTGTGTTATTCAAGTTTGTGCTCACGAAATTGCAAGTTATTTTGAATATTTTTCAAGCAATTCATTTTTTATCCATAATAAGTATTGAATATTGTCAACAAGATTTTTTTTCTTCATTGGAATCTTCTAGTAAGTCTCTTCAGTTAAAAGTTAGGCTAGTAATTTTTATATGCCTGTTGAAAGACCGACGTATGGTATAGCTCTGTCCGGCGTCCGTCGTAAACTTTTATTTGGCTGGAGATCTCTTACATTTTCCAGCCGATTTTTATGAAACTTGGTAGGCTTAATCACCATGATATGAAGTGGTGTTTTCCTGAACAGGGTTTGATTTGGTGTTTTGAACAAGAGTTATGGTCCTTTGTTTATTTAAGTATAGAAATCTTGTCCGGAGATCTCCCAGCATTTTTCAGCCGATCTTTATGAAACTTGGTAGGCTTAATCACCATGATATGAAATTGTGTTTTCCTGAATGGGGTTTTGATTAGACGATTTGAATAAGAGTTATGCCCCTTTGCAGTTTTGGATATTCACGGGCGTATTTTGTTCCACTTTGCGGTACTCTTGTTTTTTTAAATACATTAGTCTTTTTTTTTATAGTTAGCATTTATGTTTATAGACTGATCACCTATAAACATAAGTGTTGTTTTGTGTCTTTCTTGGCTTGATAAACCATCCAGACATGAATAGCTGTAGTATTGTTTGTTTTTTTCTGTAAATTTGTCTTATTTTTGATAAAAGGTAACAAAATCAACAGTTCAGTAAGCTTTTAAACCACTTTCTCCTCCTCACAAAACATCACATATACTACAGTCAAGTTCATCATTTAATACCAAACATTTTGGCATGTAAATCATTTTTCAAAAAAGTAACGACTGTTGAAAAATGTATTGCCTCAAAGAATAACTCTGAGGGATTTTGAGCAAAAATGGGGAATTTTTCCAGGTCCGAGATAATTTATGTTCATTTTCATCTACTGATATCAAAGTTCTTCAGCTTTTTGTTCTTGAGGTGTCATCATTTAGGCATTAAAATGGATTTATGTCACTTAAGTCTCCTTTAATCAAAAGAAATATAAACCCCAACCTTCCCCCTAAAGGCCTCCATCAGTCCACAGGTCCTTGTTTGTTATTACAAGATGTTTAGAATGTGTTATGTGTGAAAGGTATGTGAAAATTTTGATCAACTTGTATAAAACAAAACTATACAATGACCTGTTTGAAAGTGGTGTGAAGAAGTTGTGATAAAAGACTGGAGATATTTGAAAAAAAAACTATGGTAAAATTGACTATGTAAATATATTTTGTACGTATGAATGGTGTATGCGAGAACCCTTCTGTGGAGATGGCATTATTTGTAAGGGACTGACCCCAGGACCCCAACTCTGGCAGTCTCAATTATTGCTCAAATAATAAAATATTTGTGTAAAAAAAAAAGATTAACTGCCTCTCCACACTTGGTAATAACCAATCAATTTAAAGGAAATATAATTAGTTTAATTTTTGATGTATATAGTTAGAGAGAAGTGAGAATGTTTAATTTTTGATGTATGTAGTTAGAGAGAAGTGAGAATGTTTAATTTTTGATGTATGTAGTTAGAGAGAAGTGAGAATGTTTAATTTTTGATGTATATAGTTAGAGAGAAGTGAGAATGTTTAATTTTTGATGTATATAGCTAGAGAGAAGTGAGAATGTTTAATTTTTGATGTATATAGCTAGAGAGAAGTGAGAATGTTTAAGAGAAGAATGAGGACCACAAAACTGGCCAAAGTTCTTCTGCAGCAGAGGATGTATAGGAAAAGTCCTAAACTTCCAGAGCCTGATGACATTAACAAGCTCAATGGGCACTTGAAAGCTGCCATTGCTGATTTTAATTTGTCTAAAAAGGACCTGGAAAATTTTTGTAGAATGGGGGAAGTTGTTTCTGCAAGTCTGCTCCTGTACAATCAAAGGCGACCTGGAGAGCTCCAGGCTATTGGGTAAGATTTTATTCAGTTATGGAGTTGAATTTGAAAAGCTGAGGAAAATGAATCACACATATGATCCACTGCTGAAAGCACTCTCAATCATCATAACAAGTTCCTTGTAAATATTCTTGTTTCTTATTCATATGGACTTGTGCACAATCAAAATATTCCATCAAAGGATACAAAAATTTGGGTCAGAACCGACGCTTACAAATGTTTTTGATGAAAAATAATGTACCCAACGGTGAAGGCATCTACCCCAGTTTCTATCCTACATAACGTACATGTGAGTTTCCAAGTATTAGAAATGGCATCAAGGGTCAAGAGAGCAGTGGGTTATGCATAACTCATTACTCTCCTTTTACTTAAAGGGATATTTTGCACAAATTACTTTGCTTTTCAAAATTACATATAGCATGTATATATGTTTTAATGAAAATTGTGCTCAGTTTCCATATACAAATGACATACAATATTAGAATGAAAGAAATCCCATATAAATCTAACTAGGTTGATTTCTGAATGTTCATGTAACCTTGATAGTGTCAGGACAGTTGTATGTAAAGGTGTTTAGATGCAATAGTTTCAATAGTCATTAAATAGAATGCAGCCAGAAAATGTGCAAAATATCCCATTAAACCATTTCCAGATTGACACACTACAAAGAGTGACAAGAGGGGGAAGATGTCCAGCGTTTGATTGGAGATTGTACAACATTTGAAAGGAAACTGTTAGAGAACCAGGTGGTTATCACAGTGTGAGGAAAGGTTTTTATTTAATTTGTTATATCTGAGTTGTTGGGATGAATGGTGCATTGGTTCAACCTTTTATGAAGCACAAAGCATTACACCAAACTGAAACTATAGTACCACTAATAAGAAGGCCTGTGCATATAGTTTTCAGTGGATGTTTGATTACATAATTGTCCAGACAGTGTCTGTGGCAACCAACAAATTTATAGTATGACAATGCAAGTTGTTGCATGACAAATGCCGTCATGATGCTAAAATAAACATTATAAACACATAAAAATTGAAAAAAACAGCAATATGTTCAATGCCATTGACCTCAAGGGTTCATGGAACACATGCTTTTTTCCCAAACCTTTACATACCTTGTATACAACACAAGTTAATGACTGCAAAATGTAGTATGTTTGAATGTGATGTCTGATTAAATATATACTATTTATTTTACTTAATCCAATATTAGGAAAATGTTTGTTAGTGAAAGCCTCATTCAGTGGTTACTGAATAAAAAAATCCCTCTTTTCAGACCAGAAGAGGAGTACCTATTATAATTCCAGCAGATGCAAGGAAACCGACTGACTACCTCATAAATGAAGGGGTTAGAAGAGATGCAGGGATCCTGGAAAAGAATACTTTGTGTTTGCCTGAAAAGGTATAATCCACATGTTTAAAAATTTCCTTGATGATTCCACTTCACATATAAACAATTAAATCCATGATGATATTTTGTGATTTTACAGTATGTCTGACATTTGTTTAAATGCTGCAGCAGTGCTAGATTTCTGTGTGGTCTCTGGCAGGGGAAGGGGTTGTCTGTGCATGTGATTGCCATGGTTACCTAATGAAAAATTGCTAAATGCAAAAATACTGCTAATTTCAACCAAACACTACAACTTTATAGAAGAAATTTGTTTCTAAACACCTATCTTAAAATCAACAACACTGTCATGGTAACAAACCACTTGCATCTCAGCAAATTCCAACTCAGAAATTCTTCATAACATGACCACATGTAAACACTATGAAAATTTCACTTCCTGTAAAGCTGATTTTTGGTGCATAAACACAGATTTGAAACTGCTCAAATAGTAATCTCCAAATTTATTATTATTCTGAAAAAAATGAAACCCGGCATTGTCCAAGACTAATTTTAACAAGGATTTATTTTTCAAATTTTAATTAAAACCTTTAGGATGGGGTGATCTAATGAACGAAAAAATATCACCCATGGCCACACCGCAAAAATAACCAGGAAATAAGTATATAAGAATAATCAATATATGATGACAGTTTTGATGGAATGCATATATTGACACTGTCTATATTCAGTGTCACAATTTCCTTTTTTATGACACTTGATAACCTTTATTGCTTATCTTATGTGACCATCAAGGCCACTAGGCCTTTTGTTCCATTTTATTTATCAACCTGTAACATCTCTCATAAACCATTTCTCAGTTGCTATGAAACTTGACATAAATGGATCAGTAACATTGATATTGGATTTTGAAAATTTGCTTCTATTATCAGAATTTTTTTTGCCTTGTTTTGCAGCTGAAAAAAGTTGTTTCCCCTAGTCAAAATTTGAGTTTTTGTCCCAAAATGATGCAAAATCCAAAAATATTTTTTTCATAAAACACTACTTTATTTTATTAAGGGATAGGCTGCTGTTAAATCAAGGTGGAAAAAACACGTTTTGTATACATGTATGTAAGAATGATGTAAGAACTTGAATGAAGAATAGCCAATTACAATTTTAAGGTCAGAGGTTAAAGTTGGGCAGAGAAATTTTAAGGTCAAAGGTCAAGAAACACAGACAGATAAAAAAACTAGATATACTGTATTTCAAAAGTATGGACAGAAAATATCATTTAGGATGAAAACTCGCAATGGTTCACCAGCTTTTCACCTTCTAGGTTTGGGTTGGAATCCCATTGGTTGCAGGGATTTTTCTAGGTCAAGTGTTTGAAAATTACTTTCGAAAATTTTGATTGCTGACATATCTGCCAGCAGTGTTTACACAGAGGTAGGGTTTGTGCAGAGCCTGAAAATCCCTTGAATTGAGAATTAATCCTGAAACTCCTTGAAAATTTTGATATGTCTTGAAAACATTGATTTAGCCGAGTAATTTTAATACTGTATTTGTGTAAGGAAACAAAATTAAATTGCCCATATAAATAGAAGTCAGAATGAGTCGCCTTACTTATTCGAATGCCCTGTTTTTGTTTCAGGTCTTTGATCCAAAACCAAATGAAATGGAATGGGTTATCAATCATATGGGCCACTCACTTGACAATCATTAGATACATTACAGGTAACTTGAAAATACAAAATAAGATGCTCACACATCCAATATACCAAGGCTGTGATCCATTTAAACATTGTCCATTTTGTTTTTGAAATCTCACCATTATGCAGAGTGATGGAAATGTTGCACTCCAGGTTTCCAATGGGAAAATTTGATTCAATCATATGAAATGTTTTAGTGCGAAGTGATCTGGTCAAATTAAGTGACGCAGGTTTTCATTCTATCGCGAAAAAGTTGGCTAGTTACAAAAATATCAGGTATTTAGTGAGAACAAATGCATTAATTTATTCAGCCATAGATATTTTTCAGGAAAACTTTTGAAATTGATGATAGATATTGCTAGATAAATAATATATAAACTTTTTATTTTCTTTGAAAAAATTCCCATAATTCTTCTACTTTTGACAATATAAAGTGCTGTGCTACCAAGCATAGGGATTATATTTCAAATATGATTTTTATAAATATGTGTAACATTGTTATGCTCAAAGTGCACAGATGATGTCTTAGAAAAAACACAAATAGCCAAGATACTACTGCTACAAGACCGTGTGGGAGAGTTTCGGACAAATCCTTACAAGACATCCAAATAGAAGGTTTGTTTCCTTTGAATCAGATTGATGGTGCTTCAATTCAACTTATAAATAAAAAAATTTACTAATCCAAAGAATATTTCAAAAACCTAGTCCTAGTATTGTTTGCTGCTCTGACACACCAGAGAATCATTACTACTAGACTAAAAGTGTGAATTAAAATATTTTAGTAATGAAAAGTGCATCAGTTCTAATGAAAACAGATTCTTTCTTGGACCACCATCATCTTTTCTGAATAACCATAAAACACTATTTTGTTATCACCAGGCTTAGTAATTGCCTCTTACCTTCATGACCTAGCCCCAGTATCTATTTTATATATTTTCATATTGCTAAAGAACTGTAAATGACTATCTGAACAATATTGGTTTAAAACAGTTTAGAAATAAAATGACTGAAGTGGCCATTATTATATGAAGATATCTTTATTACAGACCTTATCCAGGAGTCATCATTCGCTGAACTGGATGAATTTGAGGATTTACACAATATGACATCACCTGACATTGTAGATGCCATTGAGCCATGTGATTTTTCTGTGTTAGATTATCGCTGAAAAATTTGATGATGAATACATATCCTAGCTCATAAAAAAACGAAAGTCTGCTGCTCTTCAAGAAACAAAAATACGGCCAACACCACATCAATGTGGGAAAGCAATTGACCTAAGCAGGGTTAATGATGGAAAAATTTGGAAAAGAAAGAAATTGAAGATGTACTGGGAAAAAAACTCTTCTGAATTGTGGATAAACTGAATGCAGGTCGGAAACCTAAAACTGTTTCATGCTATTTCTGCTGTTCAAATTTGTAGAAAAGGTGATTGTGGGTCAGAAACCGACAATAAATAGATGTTCTTTTCATCATTGGGGAGCAGTTTGTAGACAATGGATTGATCCAAGTTCTAATGTGAAATAATTTATTACCAACTTTTTATTAACATTGTCAAACATGATTCTTTATGTTGTTAATACTTGTTTTGACCACTTGTTTTATATCATAATTTTTAACATCTTGTGCATCCGTTGTCATCCCTTCATGCAACAGGAATGAACTGGGATCAAGGTGTGTATATATATCATAGTACAGTTTTGTATAGAAATTCTGGATTAGTATTTTGTATATATTTATAATGTACAGCACCAGTTTGTGGAGAAGTTTTATACACACAAAAAAAAAAAACAACATTCAAGGGAGTTGATTTTATTTTTCAAGTTGTTGATACCAAAAATATTTTTAAACAGCAAGAAAGAGCAAATGCAGATGGTATCTTGTATGAATTTAGTCTCTTGATGAAAAATCACTTACCAGCATTGAAACAGTGATTAGTTTTTAATCAAAAGGAAGAAAAATGTGCCAATACTAATTGTAGATAACGAATACAATATTTCCATTGACTTGACCAAGGATGGATGAATTTCTAAGTTTGCAGTATATCAATATGCCCAGTATGTAAAATTCCTGTCAAGAATGTTTGATAAAATGAATGACCTCGACCCATTTTCAAGGTCACAGGTATAAATGTTTAATAATCTTTAAATGATTTCTTCTCAATATCCCAAAAGTTCTGATAACCGGCCCATAGTATGCTGGAATGAATTACCAAGTATGTTCATGTTATCTATATTTTCACTTTTTAAAGGTCAAAAGGGTCAAATTTGTTAAAACCTTTAATGACTTCTTGTCAATAACAAAAAGGTCAAGGCTGTTGAAATTGGTTTTTCAATGTTTGTGGATGAAGACAATCGTTTTCAAGTAATTGACCTTGACCTATGTTAAAGATCTCTTGGGTTAAGTGAGTTGAGATTTAATTTTTTTTTTCAATAAGCAATAGGTTCGGAATAATGGCATTTGTGTAGTAGCATGTATAAAGAATATGATTTTAAGTTTGCAGAAAATGTTTTTATGACCAAACAGTATCTTTGTATGCTGTAGAGTAGTTGAGCAGTTTATCTTAGGCTTATTTGTCCTCTTTCATACATACCGGGTAGATCTTTATATTCAGATGACTTAAGGCCCCTGGGGGTCCTGTTTATGAAACATTGGCTGGGTAATTATTACTTTAATTAAACAGCATTTCATACTAGATAGTAAAGAGTTGTAAAGAATTTCTTGCATTTTGCCCATCTGTTGTAAAACAATACACATTTTTTACTTCTTTTGAAAACCCCTGAGCCAATTTTAATGAAATTTGGTAGATATTTTCATGGCCAATGGAATGAAGTACAATGTCTCTGACCTAGGAGACTGGGACGGTGTCGAAATGAATCAAATTTTCGAAAATCTCAACACACAGATGTGGAAGAATCAAATACTTTTCATAGATGGAAGAGTTTTTGAGATGCTTTAACCCAAATTATAAATTTCATGATCCTTGCATTTTCGCTTGGGGAGGGGTATTAAGTCAGAAGCTTATATAGAATTTTTTTTCTCTCTAATTCAAAATCTATTAGAATCCATAATATAGGATGACAGTTAACTATGTTAACAAGATGATTTATGTGATGTATATAACACAAACAATGTTTATGGAATTCAGGTGACTGTTAAGACCATTGGGCAAAATCTTTTGTCAAGACACTATCATGCAGTGTTGAAATTTTGGTTGAAGAATTAGAAGATTTGATATGAGTATGGTTGCTACCAAATAGTTCTACCTTTTTTAAAATTCTTTTATGGTGTCCAGATCTGGAAAAGTAAGTTTTCAATTTTCGTCATTTTTAGATCATCTGCAAGGTTTTGTAGTTAGATGACCTTATGGCCCATGGGTCTCTTGTTTATAATGAAAATTTGAATTTACAATTATGTAAGAATACCTTTGTTTATGTGTATTCATGAGTGTAATTTCATCTTCATGTTCACACTCTGAACCTGTTTTGTATTATTGAAACAACCAAAGTGTTATTTTCTTTGTATCATGATTAAAAATGGATCATTTACAAAACACAGTTTTCTGCTTCATTTGTATGTTTGATGACTGTGATATTTTATGATCATGAGAGTGGACATCTCTGAGGTGGTTTTGTCCATTTGGCGATACTGGAGTTTAATTCGTAAATTCTTGAAAGACTTGTCCATAATTGTGGGCTTCAACCACTGTTGTATTTAAGAAAATGACGGTCAGGAATATCTGAGGTGATTCGTCCAGTTATCAATATCTGAGGCGATTCATCCATGACGTCTAGGATGACTTGTCCTTAATTCTGGGCTTAAATTACCATTTAATTCAGGAAGTTGCAGACTGTTATATCTGAAGTGAATCGTCTGGTAGACAACATCAGATGTGATTCATCTGTGACGTTCGGGATAACTTGTACCTTATTGTGAGCATCAACTGTTCCAAACTGTCTGTGAAGTCTAAAAAGTCCATAATCCACCATATTTTTAACAAAGACACAATTTATAATTCATTCTCTCATGAAAACTGTGACAAATATATTGTGTTGGAAAAACGTCGGTTATCATTTATTTGGAAGCAGTATTTGTGCATATATCTTATTATTGTTCTATGTATTAACATGGTGTATTTTCTTTTCCTTTGTTTTGGTGCTTTAATATAATACAACATGCTTAATTTTATAGCACATATCAAATTATTACACCAAATTAAAATTCACATGGACTACAATGATCCTTGCATCTTGTGCTAGGTCCTGTCAAATGGAGGTATGAAATACATATATAGTTGACTAGCAAAATACAAAATGAAATGATCACATTTGTGTTCAACAAATGGAAAGCATTTGCGTTTTTCACTGACATTTAACTTTCAGCTAGGAATTCACAGGGCAGCCTTCATATTGCCAATAATGTGATAATGAGGAAGGAAAATTGGTTAATTTTTTTCGTGTGACAAAGTTATATTCATATCAACAATATTGTGCACTGTACTCGAGTTACCTCCCCCTGAAATCGGACTGAACTTGTACGCTTAATGGTGACACCAGCATTTTTTGTAAATATTTAATTGTTGACTAATATGTAATACTATTCCTATTACAGCGAGTATGTATTTGTTAGTTGAACCATGCACCTATTAAACTGTGGTTTGTAACTATTACACACGTAAAGATACGGTAAAAGTTTCACAAAGCCGGGAATAGGCATCCTTATACATTGCCTAACAGCAAGCAGTCGTGATGAGTGGCAGAAAACCCTGATCTCAGTTGCATGGAACTTGACCAATCATCTATTACAACCAGCAACATGTACATGATTTTATCCAATAAAATCCCAAAGTCTATTTTTGAAATCGGTTTCACCCGTATTTTAGGAGTTTCCTAAGGTAGTTTTCTAACCAGTGTAAACGGAATTAAGCGCCAACCAAATTGGACCGGCTTGAAAAAAGTGAACAACACATTACTTTCATTTCATTGCATTTAATACTGATAAAATGAATACCTTTCAGGCATTTCAACAAATAGAATAAATAAAATGAAAATTAAGAATAAAAAAACATACATATAAAAAAAAAACGAAAAATATAAAGTAAAAAATACAGACATTTTAATTTAGATATATGTAAATTGAGAACTTTTTCAAGTTCTTGTATCTAACGGACATTTTTGTGCAAATAATCTTATTTAAAACATCTAGATTTCAAACAATTTTTAAAAAATACCTTAAGCTTTCAGAGTGATACTGCTTGAGGAAAGCAAAAGCAAAAATGTATTTCACCTTTTTGTAATTTCATGTAACGAGAGAAAAGGGTGTTTTCTAAATAAATGATCACAATATTATGAAACATAAATGTGTATACTGGTAAATAATCACCTATTGGATATATGATGCTTTTTGGCACTTAAGAAAATAAATTTGAATCACAAAACGTAATGAAATACCATTTTGAATTTTGAATGGATATTTCAATTACATGTATACACCAACAATATTAAAATGTGCATTATACAATTAATGCAATTAAAATTGGATTATCCAATCAATATCTAGAAAGCAATACCATTTTGAATGGATATCTATATCTTATGTAAAATACCATTATGAATGGAGATGCACCATGCAAATTACCCGCCTAGAACCAGATTCACAATGCAATAAAAAATTTGATCTCCTGAAAACAAACGTTTTGTATAAATTCAATATTCATTTGGCATGACAGGTTTTAGAGTTATGGTCAGTGGCCGTACATTTCCGACACATTCTCTACTCTCTTTTTATGCGAGAGAATTGCGAGTCAGTTTTGCCTCTGAAAAACTGCTTTGATACAATGTCGCTGAGCTTTTCTAAGCCCTGCTGGCTGTATTGGACAATAGCACCATGTTTTCTGATGAGTTCACCTACATGATACCTAAGCATATGAATGTACAGGGTGACATCTTTGGCTTGATAACAACTTATATACATGTCACACCACAACTTTACTTTGTATTCTATGTCATCAGCATCTGGGGTGTCAGATTTAATACACATGTTCAGCTCTCTAAACCCATCCCAAAACTTCTGAATCTGAACCGCTTTATTTCTGTCATCAAAAAACTCAGCTGCATCAAAACGTTCAAGCAGCAAAAGTTCCTCTGGACTAGTGAGCTCACAATACTCTAACATTTTACTATCAACGTTTACACCAAGTTCAAAATGTATTCCCAACATTTGTAACACATTTTCGAGCTCCGAGACATTCTTTAACTTATTTTTATCTTGCACTGTAGAGGTAAAAGTTGAATTTTCTCTTATGTTTTCCATGCACCTAAGATCAGCGACAAGAAGATTAAATAATTTGCCAGCAATGTGTAAAAACAAGTGAAGGTGATCAATCACAACACGGTGGGGTAAAATTGTAGGGAATAAAGGTTTGTTTGACACAGAGAAACAATTATTGGCATTTTTTCTCCCTATTCCCTCAGACATATTTTGCCCTTGTACCTCATTGTACTTGTATTCAAGCCTAGCCCCTTGTGTAGAATCATCCACAGACCAAGTTTTTGACAGATCTAATTTCTCAGTTTTGCTACATTTGCAGTAAATGCAAAAGTATTGGCAAGCAATTGAAGGTATTCTACAAACTACCAAAAGAAATCTGAAATCACCCCCAAACATTATTTCAACTTTGAAATTTCTTTCACTGACTGTCAGTGTAGTTCCCTGTAACTGGCCTACTTCTTTTCTGAGGTGATCTAGACCAATGTCAAGGTCTTGATATTTTGTTCTAATAATAGCTAATGGGTAGTTACCCTGCACAGAAACACACTTGTTCTCATTGATAATGGTAAAAGTCACATTTACAACATGAACTATCTTTCCCACATTAGTGCCATCCCCAGAAATTTTAATTCTGATGTCTCCATCTGGTGCAAAGTTTTTGTTCATATCTAATATATTACACAACACATTTACCAAGTGGGGTTTTCTTTATAGATTGTCGAACACCAAGACCATCTGGAGTAATTTCAATATCGAACTTAGAATTTAATTCAGCTACAATCTTACTAATAGCATAACTTCTTGGAAGTGCTTTAAATAACATACTCAATTCATGGTATGCTTCATTACTAATATTGAAAGTAACCAAGATGTATATGAGTGTATTCATGTCATCAACATTTTGAATTTTCTTTAGACTCGTAATCAAAAAGTTTCAAAACCTCTTTGTTATTTCTCACAACTGTAACTGAAATAGGAGTAACCCCATTTTCTGTCAGAAAACTCAATGCTGTTCTACACTTATTTGTGTCTCGTTTCCTAAGTTTTGATTGATACCCAGACGTACATTCTGTGAATGGTTTGCGCTTCAATGTTTTTTTTCATTTCTTGAGTTTCTGTTGCTAAACTAAACTTACATGACTTTTTTCTCAAGTCATCGTTTTCTTTTTCCTTTTCTTCTAACTGCCTCTGACTGACTGCTTTATTGTCTCAACCATTAACTGTCTCTTCCTTGTCAACCATGACATCCCAACTATAACCAGTCTCTCCTTTCACTTCTTGATCTGATTCCCTACCTTTACTTTAGCTTTCAAAGCCTGTGTCTTTATCTGAAAAGCTCAGCTCTTAAATATTCAAGACTAAGGTCATTTGGCAAAAGTTTAAGTGTACAATGCTCTTGCACAGCTAAAGAAATTTCTTCAACTGTTTTTAGATCTAAAGCTTTCTACCAAAACTGATCTGATGATAAAATCTCATACAAAATTTCTCTAGAAATTACAATCATTTCTATGATAGTTTAACTAAGATTTCTAACCAACAAAGTCATAAAAACAGAAGTCTTTTGATTATCTAAAGTATGGGATCATTCAGGAGATGTGGCAACATTCTGTGGTTGCCGGCACACTTAACAAAAGTAAACACCAGCTGTGTTCCTCTAGAATTTGAACAAGCTTTCAATTCCAGTTGATCACTCTCAGGTTGCTTCTTGATTTCATATTCTCTCAAATCTCTTCGTACTCTTAAATAGAATTTCAAAGTGGCAGTCTTAACATAGCAATTGTCCCCTTCTGCATTCAACACACGGTAGTCCGAAGTTTTCCTGAAAATTTTGGTCAACATAAATCTGGATGAAATGGTATATGTGGTCCTAGATCTTGTCACTTTGTGGACAATAGCAACATCTCTTAATATTTCAAAATCTTTTTCAACTAATGGAATCCTTAGGCATACAAAATTGTCAGTCTTGGTACCAACAGTAAAATGTTCTTTGATAAGGACACCTAGATTCTCAAGAGCATAAGGGTTGTTTTCAGTTTCAATGAATGGTTCCAATTTATCTTCTTCTATCAGTCGATCATATTTTTTGCTCCAACCTGTAACAGAAATGGAATTATATGGTATACAAAAATATTTGTATGACATAGAACTATAAAAATGTCTCTGCTACCTTATAATCAGTGGATCACTATACAGTGTGATTTGGGACAGGGCACAACATGGCGGCAGATGGACATAGATCCCCCTCCCTCCCTCCCCACCCCCCTATTTAATGGCGAAGGCATCATAAAATCAAAATAAAACTAGCAAATTATAAATATGTGCTTATGTATTTATATTGTATATATGATTTAAAGGGAATTTCCAAATTCATTCAGAGTTTTGCCTACATTTCTCGAAAGCAGTATGAATGAAAGTAGAAGGTTATAATGATGCAGTGAAAAACAGTTAAATATTTCATTTATATACAAATCATATTTACCAAATATTATTCTCAGGGCTTTATATAGATTATGTTAATTCCGATTTAACTCTGACTTAAGACAAGAGTTTCAATAATAAATTGAAAACATTTAATTTGACAGTTACCTAAGAAATGGATTTTCACATAGCCATCGTTAGTTTCTGTGTCGTCTAATATCCGGACAGGATATAATCAATGAATCCGTGTAGGCCTATCATCTGCCCCGAGAAACTTTCCCCGATACACTTTCCCCTTGCAGGTCTGATATCAACAGAATTAATTTCTCTGAAATCATAATAAATTAATGAATTTATTTCAACACTACCCGTGCCCGTATATAATGATATATAGACATAGACTGGTTAGGGATGGGATTGGGGTTAGGTCGGTTGTGGTTTTATTTATTGTCTTACAATTTTCACGCACAAATCTAAACTATAATCAGACACTATTATTTTAACACTCACTTCAACTATGAGTTAAAATTGATATCATACTCACTTATAAGAACCTACCGGGTCTCCAGTAGCCCCAGCTTTTGCGATTTGTAATTCTCCGCCTTCGTGCTGTTGCCACATTTCTTTTCTCCCGGCCTCAGGATAACAAGGGCAGGTAACTCTAATTCGTATAAAGTTGATATGTTTGCACAGTCTTAAAATTATACGATCATTATCGATATCTGACTGCGACTTAATTAATTTACATTAAAGATTTATGCAACAATATCACATGGACGAATTCCCTGGATAACAGGCTAAAATAAAACAATATATAACGACGTGATTTAGTCTCGTTAGGACCCAAGTTTACATGAATTCCGGAAAGTCACTGCTTGCTTCCGATAATGATTTGTTGTTTACCAGTGTCCGCGTATGGCGGGAAACTTATAGAAGTTTATGTAAAGTGTAGGTGTAATATAAAGATGTATGTTATATATAATAATCCTTTCTTCTCGATGAAATACCTTTTACATTGAAAAGTGACAAACTAATTCAAGCGATGATATCCATTGATCACAAAAATCGGAGAATGTACAAAAACATACAAGTAAAAAGCACATTTTGATACTAGTCTTAGAGTTCGATAAAAGTGAGCCAAACAAAGAACAGAATAGCATCATAAAGCTGATTGTCCATCTATGACCCATCAGCGATACTAAGGGCCTATTTTGAAGCTTAACTTTCAAAGGCGACCGAGTAAGATCCAGAGAGTCCCCTAAGCGTTTGAACGAAGACTCATGTAGACTATACAGTCAAGTATGTCGTTGACAGTGAGTAATGTTTATTTTTGCTAGGTAGCAGACTGACATAACCAATGACTGAATCCAAACCAGTAACGGGTCGTGGGTCAGGCCATCTATAATGGTGAATGGAAATGTGATGGAAATAGAAAGATATTTACCTTCACGAAAACTATAAGCTTACGTCTTTTGTTGCACTACAAGTGTTGGATTATCGGATTTGAACAATTTATGGTATGATCTGTGACTCTCGAGGATAATTCTGAAAGTATTTGTGAGTCCAATGCCAGGAACTTGTAAATCAATGTATGATGTAGAATATTACCTACAACATGGCTGTCATTTAAAAATTGAAAAAGATAGTTTGACGTGTTTGCTGGGAGAGTTACTCTAAAGGGATTAACTGATTGTGTTTGCCTGACGGAAGCTCCAGGTGGTAACAGGTCTCTAAAGTGAGTAAATTAAAGTCTTTGTTGGCAGTCCATGATCAAAATACTGTATGTGAGAATGTTTCGTTACTGCTTTAAATACTGAAAAGTCATGAGGTCACTAAGTTTGTTTAATCAATACTTTTTTTCAAGACATATAAATATATGTGGATTTTATTTTTTGTAATCTTAAACAGTGTAAAAATTTATTTTCCACAACTTAAAAAAAGATAGATTTTTTTCTGATATTTTTTTAACGTCTTGAGCATTCTAAAAAGTCTTCAGCCCTCCATTGTAAACTTTTCATACCTTATGAAGTATGAGGAATGAATATTCTTTACACTTTTTTTTTACTCTTCAGTATACTGTTCAGGTGGCTTTATAATCTTCCGTTTGTATATGAACAATGTAAGGCTCTGCACACATATAATTTACTTCATTTTTATGGTGGTTATCCTGACCAGAGCTATCAGATAATTACCAGGTATCACCTATAATAAAGTTCGAGTGATGATATATTTATTTGTTTCAATACTGTTTGGCCACGTTTAATTATTTACTTTTAGATTTTTGTTCATAGAAACTTAACTGTGATTACATAAAAGAAATTCAAGGCAGATAAACTGATCACATTTTAGAAAAAAGGTACCTTAAAGTGAGGTTACATACTGTGGTATAATGTATTCTTGGTTTTGATTTTCGTCCTGGTCTATGTATATATTATCAAATATGACATTCATATGGAATACAGTATTGCTGCCTTCTAAGTTACCTAGTTTTAAAGACACATATATTATCTAAAGACACATTAACAATCCTTGCATTTACAGGATGTGTACTATCATGATCTTGCAAACACTGAATGTACTAGTACAATAGGTGTTAAACTATGGTGAGATAAATATGTACAGATTCTTTCCAGGCTGGTATGATAACATTTCCACCATGTTTACTGGTAAATTAATGCTTCATCTTGTGGTTGTACAGATTGTCTTTAAATTTTTGTTCAAATTAATCCTATTTGCTCTGGATGGTTTTCTTGAAGTAATGAGATAGAATTTATTTTGTTATTTAAAGAAAAAAAAATTTTTTGGTCGAGCCTGAAGCATAAATTTTGTTTCTTCATATTTTAGAAGTGTGAGAACACCTATAAAACCTAGACATGGGGAACGGTGCCTCTGCTGACGCTCCGACCACTGTACAGGTGAAGGCAGCCCCAGAGAGCTCACGATCTGCCCCATCGTCTGATCAGGCTTCTTCTTCGAAGTCACCCAGTCGGTCAAAAAACATTTCCACAAGGGCACAAGCAAAACAGAGGCCAACTCGCTCGGAGTCTTCTACCCCTCGTAAAGGAAAATTTGAAGAGGTAGAAATTCGGAAAAATGGTGGTCCGCCCCGTGCCTCACAAAGGGGACAAGGTCAAGCTGCAGCCAGCACAGCTGCAGGCAAGCAAGGCAAGGTAGGAAGCATACAGACTACAAAGACAAGTTATATTTAGAACCCCTGTTAAAACTGCTATTTACCATCCTGCCTATTCTGTTTATTGTTTTATAGTTTAGTTTTAGAAAATTACCTAGATATTATAGATTTAATCTGTTTTCCTTTTTTTTTTTTTTAAATTTCCATTCAGGACCTGAATTAGATATTTAATCAATTGTATACCTTTCATACACATATTAGTTTACAATTAAAACAGTCATGGCAAGAATCCATACATCATATGACAAGTGATCTTTGGCTATGATGCTTTTGATATTTGCAATTTTAGAAAATAGTGCCAGATCTGCCTTTTCTTCCCTATGCCTGGTGGCTTAGGTTTGTTTTGATTATTTTACCTGTTATCAAGAGGGGTCCCTCCCCCGGGACTCGGAACTAATTGTAATTTTCACGTGTACTATACCCAGAGATACAGATATGTACAAACATTATCATGATTTAAAAAACAATGCTTTTAAAGGAAACAACAGGAACCAGTCTTTCATGAAGTTTTCAGACTCTGTTTTGTTTGCTTTCTTTGATGATTATTTGTTCAAACTTAGAATTTCATTGATTAGATAATAAATAAATTATGGTTATTTTAAAACCATTGTTTGGTCTGAACATTCGAAAGAGTTCAACCTGCTTTAGTTTATGTTTTTAGATAAAAAACATATTTATCTAGTTACACTGTACCAGCTTTAGTTTATTTTTTTATATAAAAAAAGACATATTGATCTAGTTACACTGTACCAGCTTTAGTTTATGTATTTATATAAAAAAACATATTAGTCTAGTAACACTCTACCAGCTTTAGTTTCCATTCATTTAAGTGTCTGTGTTTGATGGGTATAGTCGTGTCTTGTTTTGTAGAATGCCCCCACTCCTGGGGGCCAGTCCCTGGAGAACACATCGGTGAGCTATGCATGTTAGAAGCTTATGAAGGCAGAATTCAAACCACTAACATCGTCAGGAGTAGTGTTATTCAAAATCCACCACTCTCAAAAATTCTCAAAATCTCAAAATTTTAGGTTTCATAAAGTGTACTTGGGATTCATCAAGTGTTAATAAGAATTTACAGAAGAAGAACTAGAGGTATGGAACGTAACAAAGCTATAAGATAAAGTTTTCTAGAAATACAAGTGATGTTTAGGCCACAAACTATTGGACAGATTGCTCATGTCTTGTAATAAGCCCATCCCTATTTATCAACTGATCTGTAGCAGTATTTATATCAGATAAATGTTTTATAATGTAAGTACCACTTAATGCTGTATCATTAATGGACTTTAATGAATAAATTTCTAGAGAATGAGTGGTAGATTTTGTGATGGGTTTAAACAGATAACACTAATCCTTGACAAGTCACTTAGCTTTGTTTGCATGTCACATGTGTGATGGTGTAACCAATGACAACCTACATATTAATTCACTTTTTTTTTGTTTTTATTTTGATATATTGGTACATGTATTCAATAGATGTTTTTCTGTTTCATAATGCCTTGCTGTGTCTATCTTATTTATTTTATATACAGAAGGTATGTTATGTATACATAGTAAACAATGTTTACCTACTTATTGTTGTAATCTAACACATCATTTGTCCTGATTCAGGGTCACAAAAAGTAGAAAGAAAATAATTTTTAAGGATATTTGAGAGAAAGTTTTAATATTCTATAGATAATTATCCTGTAACTGGTGCTGCCGTTTTCGGAATACACCCGTCACATATATATTTTTGCTGTATTCCACAGTGACAGAAAATAGCTGTATTTTAGCATGTGCATTAAAAATTACATTTAACAGTTTAAATAACTGTTGAAATAAAAGATTTGTGATCTGTTGTAATGACCAAGTTTATCTACAAAAATTCATAAAATTGCTGTCATATCCGTTGAAGTTTGGAACTATATTTCTATGCAGAACAATTCTTTCGGTGAATGTCATCAGGCAAAATTCAGTGCAACGTCAACGCCAATTGAACAAGAGATTGGACAACAAAACTGTTGAAGAATTGATATGTATACATGTATATTTATAACAGTACAATTTACCGACCTTTGTCTGTTTCTTTTGAAGATATTTGGGAATTTTTTCCCAATGGATTTATCACAGTCAATTAAGACAAATTGTCTGGAAATCAGTAATCACAAAGCATCATGGGAAATCTGAGATCACCTTGCTCAATATGGTGTCCATTTGTAAAAGTGACACAACATCAAATTATAGTCACCATAGTGACATATGCTTTACAAAGTGAAGTGTGATATAGCTATAGATATCAGTACTTGACATAACATGATGATTTAGTACATTGAGTGTACTAGGATGGACAAATTTAACTAAATTTACCAACCAGATTACTCAGAACTTTTGATATGAAACATCCAAAGTTCTAACAAAATGATAAACACTTGTATAAAGCAATGGTGCAATGTATGTGCTGTTTGAATTTGTCTGTAAGTAAAATGACCAAGACAAATTTGGTCCTACACATTGTACCTCCTTGTTTTGTCACCTATGCTTCCTTGTTTTGTCACCTATACCTCCTTGTTTTGTCGCCTATACCTCCTTGTTTTGTCACCTTTACCCCCTTGTTTTGTCACCTATGCCTCCTTGTTTTGTCACATATTTTACCCAGAATTGGTTCTATACCTCATTGTTTTGTCACATATACCCCCTTGTTTTGTCACCTTTACCCCCTTGTTTTGTCACCTTTACCTCATTGTTTTGTCACCTATACCTCATTGTTTTGTCACCTATACCTCCTTGTTTTGTCACCTTTACCTCCTTGTTTTGTCACCTATACCTCCTTGTTTTGTCACCTTTACCTCCTTGTTTTGTCACCTTTACCTCCTTGTTTTGTCAACTTTACCTCATTGTTTTGTCACCTTTACCTCATTTTTTGTCACCTATACCTCCTTGTTTTGTCACCTATACCTCATTGTTTTGTCACCTATACCTCCTTGTTTTGTCACCTTTGCCTCCTTGTTTTGTCACCTTTACCTCATTGTTTTGTCACCTATACCTCCTTGTTTTGTCACCTTTACCTCCTTGTTTTGTCACCTTTACCTCCTTGTTTTGTCACATTTACCTCATTGTTTTGTCACCTTTACCTCCTTGTTTTGTCACCTAGACCTCCTTGTTTTGTCACCTTTACCTCCTTGTTTTGTCACATTTACCTCATTGTTTTGTCACCTTTACCTCCTTGTTTTGTCACCTAGACCTCCTTGTTTTGTCACCTATACCTCCTTGTTTTGTCACCTTTGCCTCCTTGTTTTGTCACCTTTACCTCATTGTTTTGTCACCTATACCTCCTTATTTTGTCACTTTTACCTCCTTGTTTTGTCACCTTTACCTCCTTGTTTTGTCACATATACCTCCTTGTTTTGTCACCTATACCTCCTTGTTTTGTCACCTATACCTCCTTGTTTTGTCACCTATACCTCCTTGTTTTGTCACCTATACCCCCTTGTTTTGTCACCTATACCTCCTTGTTTTGTCACCTTTACCTCATTGTTTTGTCACCTTTACCTCATTGTTTTGTCACCTATACCTCCTTGTTTTGTCACCTATACCTCCTTGTTTTGTCACCTATACCTCCTTGTTTTGTCACCTATACCTCCTTGTTTTGTCACCTAGACCTCCTTGTTTTGTCACCTATACCTCCTTGTTTTGTCACCTATACCTCCTTGTTTTGTCACCTAGACCTCCTTGTTTTGTCACCTATACCTCCTTGTTTTGTCACCTATACCTCATTGTTTTGTCACCTATACCTCATTGTTTTGTCACCTTTACCTCCTTGTTTTGTCACCTTTACCTCCTTGTTTTGTCACCTAGACCTCCTTGTTTTGTCACCTATACCTCCTTGTTTTGTCACCTAGACCTCCTTGTTTTGTCACCTATACCTCCTTGTTTTGTCACCTATACCTCCTTGTTTTGTCACCTATACCTCCTTGTTTTGTCACCTTTACCTCCTTGTTTTGTCACCTAGACCTCCTTGTTTTGTCACCTTTACCTCCTTGTTTTGTCACCTAGACCTCCTTGTTTTGTCACCTTTACCTCATTGTTTTGTCACCTTTACGTCCTTGTTTTGTCACCTTTACCTCCTTGTTTTGTCACCTAGACCTCCTTGTTTTGTCACCTTTACCTCATTGTTTTGTCACCTTTACGTCCTTGTTTTGTCACCTTTACCTCCTTGTTTTGTCACCTAGACCTCCTTGTTTTGTCACCTATACCTCCTTGTTTTGTCACCTAGACCTCCTTGTTTTGTCACCTATACCTCCTTGTTTTGTCACCTATACCTCATTGTTTTGTCACCTTTACCTCCTTGTTTTGTCACCTATGCCTCCTTGTTTTGTCACCTATACCTCCTTGTTTTGTCACCTATGATTCCTTGTTTTGTCACCTAGACCTCCTTGTTTTGTCACCTATACCTCCTTGTTTTGTCACCTATACCTCCTTGTTTTGTCACCTAGACCTCCTTATTTTGTCACCTATACCTCCTTATTTTGTCACCTATGCCTCCTTGTTTTGTCACCTATACCTCCTTGTTTTGTCACCTATGCCTCCTTGTTTTGTCACCTATTTAACTAAGAATTGGTTCTATATCTCCTTTTCTTGTCAGAAGTTTTTATGATCCGGCCATTTTGATGGGGATGGGTTGGGTGGCTATATAGAGCTACCCATACACTACATGTGTCATCTCATTCAGACACATATACACTACATGTGTGTATAATCTTGGCAAGAGAGTCCTGGGTTGAAAGTCCAACACAGACAAAAGGTCAGTGAGGTTATTAGAACTTCAACTGAATAGATGAACATCCTAATCTAATTTGGGTGTTTGCTGAAAGTTTGGAGATTCTGGTGTCAAATCCCATCGTCCCTTTATGTACATGGTGATGATGATTGCCTGAAAAACAATTATTTTGTATCTTAATTGAGAAATGAAAGCGTTGATGTGGAACGGATTTGAATTCTCGAAAAGCAATACATTGATATCAGAAAAGATATATTTGTGGAGTGGTACTGTTTAATAGTATAATTAGATAGACATGACAAACGGTTTGTAAACACTCCAGTCTGAATTAATAGCCATGTCAGCTGTGTCGGGAACAATTCTTAATTCTGACATATAATTTGGTTTCATGGGAAATCTGAAAGTTTTAGTGTTTTTCTTGTATATTGTATGAAAGGACTTGTTCCTTATTTTTAGAACTTTTGTAATGATTTTAAGTTATTGATATTTATGGAGATATTAGATTGAGATTTCAAGGGAATATGTTCTACAAGCTAACTACAAGGAGCAGGGGAATTAATGTTGTGTAGTGATGTAGACAACTCATGAAATATTGATCCTCTGATCCATTTCAAATTGAGCAGTAGTTTTAGAGTAGCTGGTACGCATGGGAAAGTTTTCCCATTATCAATGGTATCTACAGGTATTGAATGTTGCCACTTTCATCTACTGTGTTTGACACGTAGGGTGTTTTGACGACCGACGTCAAACTGGTATTGTAGAGGCTGATTATAGTGGATATTGAATGTTTCTTAGGTGAAACTGATAAGAGTCCTTTTACAAGGAATAGTCATTAGGGTAATTATAAGGTCTACACCTCATGATACATAATTGGCTCTACAAAAAGTTCCATTAGACTAAAAACAGTATATCTAAAACACCGTAACTAAGGTGTGTTGGTGATGAAATTTCATTAAATATATTCTTCTACTAGCGGACATTCCTATCTGTCACCAAGGTTTTGGTTCTTTAGATGGATAGGTCACACATTTATCACCAATGGCTTAATCAGTCTAAGCTAGCACCTACATTTATCAACAATGGCTTAATCAGTCTCAGCTAGCACCTACATTTATCAACAATGGCTTAATCAGTCTCAGCTAGCACCTACATT